ATATGTGGTAGTGGAGGAAGAGAAGAGAGTTAGGAGCTCCCCTTTCTTAAGTTAGAGGTTTCCATAGAATTTAATGCTCATTATTTTGTTTAAAATTACATAAAGATATGATTAATTTAACAAACCAATAAAGGATTAACTTGACTTGAGAAAGTTAGTTAATTAATTTAGGAAAATCCGCAATCACATGCAATAACACTCAATAAATTGGTTTTGAAAGTATATTAATTCAAAATTTATATTGATTGATTATAGTGAAATCAATGCTTTAGTACCTCCTATCTTAGTTAGGTTTATTTATTATTTTCTTTTTATTATTTTTAATTAAAGTTTCTTCCTATTTGATTGTTCAAATAAATTTGAATTAATTATTTTGATACTTAATTATATACAATTCTCGTGGGTTCGACACTGTCTCATCATTATATTACTTGGGGCGATTAGTACACTTGTAAATGTGATTTTAGTGCATCAGAATTATTTTTGGAAAATCTGTTTGAAAGTGTCTAATTCTTTGGAGGTGGAGTTATTCAAGAACTCTGTGTGCAGAGTTATCAAAACCCTTACAGGTAAAGATTCTAAAATCTTCGTAGCAGAGTTATTAAATATCTTTGTGGGTAAAATTCTAAAACCCCTATGGGCAGAGCTATTAAACCCAAAGCTCTGTATAAAAAAATTCAAAATCTTAGCACTTGGATTGAATCCAAATTTGAGACCTCTACATTACATTTTATTTTTCTTGGGCAACCGATGGGTTTGGATGACATCATCAAAATACACAACCAATGTCATTGAGGAAAATCGAAGGTACAAAAAATCTTCGATTACTTGGACCTCTCGATGGGGGCAAGTATTATAACTAACTTCATATTGGAGAAAAATCAGGGTCACGTGATTTCCTAGAAATTATCTGTGATTTTGAATTTAAATTATGGATAAGATTTGTTAAATGAGGATTTGGAGAAGATCTCTAGTAGAGATTAAAAGGATCTCAGGGAATAGCAAAAAGGAGAACGGAGATTGAATCTCAAACTCTGTATTTCTTCTTCCATTAATGAAATCCTGGTGACTTCAATTGATTGGGTTCTTTAAATTATTTTTTAGTGTTAACAAAATCTTACCCACTTTTTTTTTTTTTTTTGAACAGTAAACAACAGTTTATTCATTGTGAGTCGGAGTGCAAGAATTACTCCGAACGCTTACAAAATGATGTTTTTTGTTACATAGCAAGCATCAGTTTACAGGGCAAGTTGATGAACACAATCACATGGAGCCAATCCCAATTAGAAAAGTTAAACAAACAGTTTTGTGCCCTTGCCTTAATCCAAAAAAAAAGGATCTTAGTTGAGTGAGTTCAAAGAGCTTCTCTAGTTCGGTTGGTTACCCATTGAAGATCACGTTTTACCTTGTTATCCACAGTGACCACACCTTAGCTTCCCATACCACTCCCCAACCCAACGATAGTTTCTTGTTGTTGAAGAGGGAAAGTTACTGCTCATATGCCAATTTACTGTGTTTGGGAAAAAGGCTTGAAACACCCCACCACTTTTTGTAATTTGCCCAAAGATCATTTGATTTTTTGCATTGTAAAAGGAAGTGGTGTGTGTCTTCTATTTCCAATCCACACAATGCACAATTGATTGTGTCCAAATCATGTAGCACCCCACACTTGAGTAAGTTGAGACGAGATGGAATCTTGTCATACATTGCTTGCCAATTGAAGGCATTGACCTTGCGTGGTACTAACGGGTTCCATATGTTGTTATATAAGGTTTTTTCTTCCTTAGGCTGTTGGGAATTAAGCATTGAATATGCTAATTGCACCGTGTATTTCCCATATGCTGTTTTGCTCCACTGCCATAAATCAACTTGGCCTTGTCTTGGTTTCCTCCTTTCCAAAATTGCTTGAAGTTTAGCTCCTTTGTCTTCCTCCCACCTGTAAAGATGGCGTCTCCACTGAAGCCTCCAAGTCCATTCGTCCTTCCTCCACTTACCCATTTGGTTGATGTATTTGCATTTCCCTGTAGATAAAGAGAATAGCCTTAGAAATTTGTCAGCTAAGCACCCCTCTCCACTTCAGTTATTTGTCCAGAATGTAACAAATTTCCCTTCACCTAAAGGTAGATGAAAATTCCTCCTAAACCAGCCATTTGCCTCTTTGGAAATTCTATCTAGTCTACATAGATCTCTTCACCAAATGGATCCCTTTCCACCTCCCTTAGTTAACCAATTAACCCAATGCCTATCTCTCCATCTGTATCTCTCCGCAATGACCCTTTTCCATAGACTATCCTTCTCAGTAGCTAGCTTCCACCACCATTTGCCTAGTAAAGCTATGTTAAAATTTCGCAAATCCTTAACTCTTAAACCTCCTTGCTCTTTTTTTTTTTTTTTTTTGCACACAACCCTCCAATTTACACAATTAATCTTGCTACCCTCATTCCCTCCGCCCCACAAGAATTGTTTTCTAAGTTTATCAAGAATAGATAGAATACCTTTAGGGATGAGGAAGATAGACAAGGAGAACATAGGAAGAGATGAAAGCACAGAGTTAAGGAACGTGATTCTTCCATCGAGAGATAAATATTTCCCTTTCCAAGCTGAGAGTTTTTTCCTAAAAGATTCAACAATGGGCTGGCAGATGCTGAGTGATCTTGGATTGCCTCCAATCATAGTGCGTAGGTATTTGAATGGTAGAGCACCCTCTTTGCCATTTAGTATCCATGCCATTTTTGTTAACCAATTTGGCTGCACATTGACACCCATTATTTGGCTTTTACTAAAGTTAATTTTGAGGTCAGAGACTAGTTCAAAAGATCTCATGGTACTCTTTGCTGCCCAAACATTTCTTTCAGTGGTTTCCCCAAATAGAATGGTGTCGTTAGCAAATTGTAAGTGGGAGATGGATAAGCCTCCTCCTCTAATCCTGACCCCTTCAAATAAACCTTGTTGCACAGCAGATTTTATTATCCAATTGAGCCCTTCAGCAACAATTAAGAATAGAAGGGGTGATAATAGATCACCTTGCCGAAGTCCCTTTGTAATTCTGAATTCTCTAGTTGCACTTCCATTAACAAGAATTGAGACTATTGAGGAATTAAGACATTCTTTAATCCATCTACACCAAGTCTCACCAAAGCCAATGCATCTTAACATGTAATCAAGGAATCCCCAATTAACTTTGTCAAAGGCTTTCTCGAAATCCACTTTAAAAAAGAAGCAACTTTTAATTCTTTCTCCTTGCTTCATCAATCACCTCATTTGCTAGTGTTACGTAGTCCGCATGTTGCCTACCTTTGATGAATGCCATTTGTTGCTCGCTGATGATGTCTTTTAAAACCACCTTCAATCTTTTTGCAAGGAGTTTTGCAATTATTTGTACATGACCCCAATTAAAGAGATAGATCTATATTCTTCAATGCATTGTGGATTATCTGTTTTGGGGATGAGCACTATGAATGATGCATTGCAACCTTTAACAAGCTTCCCATTCCTATGGAACTCTTGCACAAAGCCTACAACATCCTCCTTGATGATGTCCCAAGTTTCTTTGACAAATCTAAAGTTAAATCCATTGAGTCTTGAGGCCTTCAAACAATCTGTTGACTCAATGTACTCCAAGAGGGGGGGTGAATTGGAGTTCCAAAAATTCTCCCCTTTTTGCAACCACAAAACCAAAAATAAAGAGAATAGAGAAGAACTTGCTCAATGATTTTATAGAGGTTCGGTCCAACCACTTGGAGCCTAGTCCTCTACCTTGGCTTCACTCACCAAGGATTTCCTCCACACTTTTCACTAACAACAACAAGGGTGGCTTAAAGGAGCCACTCAATCCTTTTACAAGAAGGAGGGTTTTTCTCTCAAATCTCACCCCTTTACACTTAAACCCCAAGAATCCTCTCTACAAATCACTCTTGAATGATTAATCACACCCCCAAGATTCCTCATAAATAGAACAAGAAGAGGATTACAAGTAATGATCTCTCAAAGATCAAAAACTCAAGTTAAAGCACATATAGGTAGGTAAAGATATTTAATGCAAGGCTCTCTAAAACTCCTTCAGATCTTCTACCAACCATATTTATAACTCCATGGTCAAAAATAGCTGTTACTAGCCGTTGGGGGTCATTTAATGTTCTGCAGGACGCAAAGCTTGAGTTAGAGGATTGTTAGGAGAGTCGGCTTACCTTCCTAGAGCCGGCTCTTCACAGCCGGCTCATCATTTCTGCAGCTGGCTTTGTGGGATTCTGCACATTCTATTTACTCCGTAGAGCCGGCTGCAAAACGCAAAGCCAACTTTGTGGGTTTCCTGCACATTCTGTTTACTTCCACAGTCGGTTGCAAAAACATAAAGCCAGCTTTGGTGTTCCGACTTTAAAACATTAATTAATCTTCAAATAAGTCGACCATTGTGCATTAAATGCATCCTTAAAGCCGGCTGCAAAGTTAGAGCCGGCTCTGCGTCTTTTCTCCACGTGCGCCAAACAACGGACCTATAAATCTTTACCTGTAAAGTCAGTTGCAACTTCCAGAGCTGGCTCTCTACACATACTCAAGCTTTTCTGGTCCATTTTTAGGTGCAGTCCAAGTTTACTTAATTTGCAATCTTTTGGCATTTTAACTACACACTTAAATGAACCAATTAGTTACTCAAACGTGTTTTGTAATCATCAAAATCATAGGTACAACACAATCACATTCCCAAATGGCTTCTTGTCACTCTCCTTCCTCGAAAGGAGTTGTGAATAGTTCCCTTTGATGTTGTGTGATTTGGTTGCCATTGGTTCCATCCAGTGTTGGTCTTTGCCATTCATCCTTTTTAAATAAGGATTCAAAGTAAAATGCAACCCCCTCCTTTAAATCAATCACCTCGAAGAAAAGCTTGCTCCCAATTTGGATGAGGTTCATCTCATTCTTTTTCCTTTTAGCTTTTGCACATCGATGGAAAAATTTGGTGTTAGCATCTCCTTCTTATAGCCACATCTTCCTAGCCTTCTGTTGCCAAGTCCTTTCTTTTATTCTCATGTTTTTCCAGAGTTCAATGAAGCATGCCTTCCTCTCTTCTGTCTCCTACCTATTGAGTCCACATGATTCATTCTTAGTGTCAAGTTGTGCAATGGTTTGAATAGAATTTTGTATCTTGCTCTCCACTTCTTCTATGTGGTTAGCAGTCCACTCTTTCAACGCTGCCTTGGTTTTCTTTAGTTTTCCTTTTAGGCAAAATCGTTTCCAACCTTGCATGGTATCCTTTGTCCAGGCATCCTTGACCAATTCTTTGAACCCTTCCTTCTCTATCCATGTATCGAAGAATCTGAAGAGCTTAGGTCCCCAATCAACTTTTTGATTCTTGAGAAGAACAAGGCAGTGGTCAGAAATAGATCTACTTAAGCCCCATCATTTAACATTCTCCCATTGGAGTAAAAATTCTTTTGTGATTAAGAATTTATCCAGTCTACTCATAGAGTTCCTATTAGGCTGGTACCATGTGTATTTTCTCCCGTAAAAAGGAAGGTCTAGTAGTCCTGCATCTCTGATGAAAGCATCGAACTCCCTCATTTCTGTTGTTGTAACTCCTCTTCCAACCCTCTCACAATCATTTCGAACTGCTTTGAAATCTCTTATCAAACACCAAATTCCATCAGCATCCCGAATAGTTTGTTTGAGATCCATCCATAAAGTTCTTTTCTTTGCAAGCTCACATGAGGAATAAACATTTAGAAGATGGATAGGGGTTTTGTCTGACCCCCATAGTCCTTTAATGTCGATAAAAGAATCACCTTCAATCAAACTTATTTTCTGGATCACATTTACATTCCAAATGACCCCTGACATTCCATTGGCTGGTTTTGCAACCCAATCAAAGTCATCCATCCCTCATAAAGATTTGCATAGCCTCTTGTCAACAGTTTCTAGCTTGGTCTCCTGCAAGGCAAGGAATTCACTTTTCTCCTTCAAAACCAACTCCCTTATTCCTCTTTTCTTACTAGCCCCTCCTACCCCTCTTATGTTTAGAGTTAATAGAATCGTTTTGGAGCAAAACCTCCCTTCTCACCACCGGCTTTGATGTCTCTTGCTTCTCTGTCTCTGGTTTCCATCTTTTCTATTTGCTGGATGACTTCTTCTTCATTGCCCATTGCCACTGCTCGTACCTATTTCGCAAAATCCCACAAATCTTTGGCATTGAGACTACTCCCCATTTCTGGAACAATCTTGTTTCTATTTCTGATTCCGTTGTCAGTAATTGAGTCCCCTGCCACCTCCTTGTTGCTTGAATTTGGGAGGAAAGTTGGGATTAGATCTGCAGGTTTCATTCGATTACCTCTCCTCCTTTCCCTTTCCTTGGTGAGATATGAGCTCCACTTGGCTTTGCATTCCTGTACACAGAGGAGGATGATTTGGCTCTCTTCCTTGATTTTTTTGGCTTCACTCTCTCGCTTCTCTTCATCCATTCTGAAATTTCCCCTGATTCGCTCTCCATGCCCGCCCGAAAGGAGCCCTCTGCCTTTCCTTTTTCTGTCATTGCTATTGTGCCCTGCTCTGTTTCTAGAATTTTCTGTCCTTCGATTCCGATGTTCAAGTTTAGGACAGGTTCCAAAGGGTGGGTATTTATGGCAACTTGATTTGGCCCAGTAGAAGGAGAATCAGCAGGCCCAACTTGACTTTGGGCATCAAGTCCATCTAATTTATTGGTTTCAGCCGCAGGAATTTGAACTTGTTTAGAGTTCTCCTTATGGTTCCATCCTCCACTACCGCTGTAAGCATTAAATGAGCCTATTAGTTTTTCAAACCTGTCAGGCACCCGTTCTGGTGTGTAACCATTCATCCTGATGCTATCGCCTTACTATTAAGAAAATCTTACCCACTTGAGTTTATAAATATATGTGTTATTAACGAACCTAAAAATTTTGACACACGTTTGCTGTGGTTATCCCTCTATTGAGGTGATTGAGGGGGATCTTTAGGTGAGAAGAAATAATTGAGAGATTAAGAGGAGGTCTCCTGGGAAGATTGAGAATTTTTAGAGGAGATTAAGAATGTACTTCTAATATTATAACTATTTTCTTAACAGTAATTTTTTTTTTCTTTTTCCTCTGTGATTTTTTCCTTTGTTCAAAGGGTTTTCTATGTTAAATTAATCCTCTATTTTGATTATTTTTCTTTATTATTATTTGCTTTCATAAATTTTTTTTTTTGCGTGAGTTAAACTTAAGAATTGGTATTAAAGCCTGAAGAATAAATTTTGTTGCCAACAATAATATTAGAAAAATTAAGGGAAGAACTTTTAATTCCCAACAGGTCAATGGTTTATTTTAACTAGACTTCATGGTGATATATAATTTAAGTACATAGTTCATAAATTACAAATAATTCAAATAAAAGAATATTGATTTTTTTTTGAGTTTGAGTTTTATAAATAAAAAAACAAGTATTATGATAACTTTTTTTTTTATTGGGGCCAACAAGAATTGACTCAAAATTAGTAGGGATTTAATGTGGTTTTCGGGGGGGTTTAAAAAATAAAATAAAATGAAAACTAGCACTAAACTGGACTAAATTTGTATGTTGGCCATACTCAAATTTTGTACCTGAAGGTATCATTATTACATATATTAGATACTCAACCTTAATTATTGGGCCAATGCTTTTACTAGCAGTTTATTGTTTTGCAAATCCATTTAACAAACCCAAGGGTAAATGGAATGGATACATATTGGTTGATTTTGTGGCCTAATTTTGATACCCATTTAGGCTATTGGCCCAAAAGATATTTACATCTTTTGTGGTTTATGACCATGGCCCAAAGGATACTGGTGTCGAACACCGTAACAGCGGTAGTGGACCATCGACTTCAACTCGAATCACACAAAGACAATAGTCAATGGGAACATGCTCAGAGCAAACTTGGGCTTTTGTGGTGCTATGCTACAGTAGTCGTTTATTTTGTCTTTTTCCTATATGAAAAAATATAAAATATATTAATTTAAGTTAATAAAAGTATATAAAAAAAAGAGATTAGTACAGTAGCATATATCAGTTTCGATTTTCAAAAATAATTAAAATCTCAATTTATATTTATAAATTAAAATCTTATTATACTAAATGTTTATATTTAAATTTAAAAGCTCATTCTATATTTTAATTAGAATCTAAATTTATATATCAAAATTTAATAAAATAATTTTTTAAATTTTAAATTGAGTTTTAATTTAATAAAATAAGTAATTTAAAGTTAAAATTTTAATTATTTTTTTAAATTGAGACTGATGTGTCTGTTTTTCATTAAAAATTAATTAAAATTTTAAAAATTTATATTTTTAAATAAAATACTACATGAAAGAGGCCTGTCCGAAGTTCTAAGTTGCGAAGCCCAAGTCCATTTCCCTTTTAAAACTTGAGTGAGATTTTATTTATTAACAAACAAGCCATGAGGAGCCACATGAGAAATGTCTTATCCCATAAATCAAGTATTTACAACTGTATAAATCAGCACATAAGCACAAACAGAGATTAAAAAAAAAAAAAAAAAAAAAAAGACTACAATTCAACAATAATTTGACAAAAATAAAGTTCATGACTTCTTTAATTGGCAAACAAAAATAATTTCAAACCCGCCTGAATATTATGGTGAAAACCACCAGCAAACACAGATGAAGAAGAGAATGGGACTTTGTTGATGGTTCATGACTTCTCCAAAATCAAACATGCTCAAAAAATAGTTTCTTTCTACAAGGCTGGTAATATACAAAATATAAAAAAATATTGTACAATTTTAAACTATATAATTTAAATTAATAAATAAAGGTAAGTCAACTGATATTGAGAAATATCTTTTCTTATTTAATAATTTTTATTTTACACTTTAATACACTTTACATTAAAAAATAAAACACTCTAAAAATTTTTTTTACTATGATTCATATAGTGCGTTCAAGTAAAGGGCGAACAAGTGCTTCGAGTCGATTTCCTTTTAAGTTCACATATATTTCATCCAAAAAAAGGACACTATTACTAATATTTCGGCAATAAATAAATAGACATTCCAAAGACTTTTATTTATTTATTTATTTGGCCAAGACATTCCAACGACCATATGATCCTTAAAACAATTATTCATCTAACAATCAGAAGTGAAGCTGAAAATATATTGTGCAAACTGCAAAGTACATAGTACAAAGCTTGTTACAAGAAAGGGAAAAGAAAAACTGAAGCAAAATATAAATAAAGAGAAAAGGGCAGTGACACTAAAAGCGAATGAAAGATCTTGTGTACGGAAAAGAGAAACATGTCTGTCTTGCAGCTAGTTCCTTCTTCGAACACATCTTTGAGTTTTCTTCACATTTCTTC